AAAAAAAACATTTATGACGGAGAAGAACTGATATGAAACAAAGAAATCCTAAATTACAGTGAAATGATTAAAAATAACACAATTAGAACCATAATATAAAAAGCTGGAAAACGTTCATCATGTCTTCTTAGTGATAATCTAAAGCTCAGCTTCTCTATTCAGACATGGAGAGTGTTTTTATTACCTGATGCTCGAGCAAAACTCTACATGTCTGAATAGAAAACATCAATGACAGGATTAATCACGTCTAATATTAAATTAATTATTGACCATCAAAGCTGCTCGTTAGCTTCATTAACGTCACTCAGACCTGAAGCCGGAGTTTATTTATTTATTCTAAAGAAAGGACACAGTTCAGATCACAGTGAACACAGAGCAGCTCAGGATGTTGTTTTATTGGGAAAAAAAGAATGAATACAAAAATAAAATAAAAAAATCTTCTGTTCATGTTAAAGAAAACAAACAAACAAACAAACAAACAAACAAACAAACAAACAAACAAACAAACAAACAAACAAACAAATTCCAGCTCACAGCTGCACAATAAAAAATTGAAGATATTTATTGCAAAGAGATTTCATTTTATGAAACCACACATATGTTTGAAGCATGTTTGTGTTGATTCAGACTCTCAGGTCGTCCATCAGCCCCGAGCTCCTCCTGCTGCTCCTCCTGCTGCTGCTGCTTCATCCAGTCAGACGTCTGAAGTCAAGTCCAACAGTCACTGAACGCTAACGTCCGTCTGTCGGGTTCAATGACGTCAGAACTACGACACAAGCAAGAAAAACAAAACAACGAAAAGTCAATAAAATAAAATAAAAACACCTGCAGAGCAAAAACAAACGTAACGGTGAGACGTCGGTGAGTTCAGAGAAAATCAGCCTGAAGCAGGAACCACGACATCATCACAGGCCTGAACTTCTACTCAACAACAATAACAACAACAACAACAACAACAACAACAACAACAACAACAACAACAACAAATAATCTAGAAATCTTCTGCTGAGGTCTTCTGGGTTTCCAGGAGCATTTTCTAAATGAGGGCTGCAGGTGTCTCNTATATGTAGACATTCACAGACATGTTTATTTATTTCTGGTGAGTTTATTCTTATTTATTCTGATCTAATAGTTGATCAGCTGATTGTGACCAATTAAAGCCTTCAATCAGAGTTTCTTTAATTAAAAGCGGTTTGTTGGTTAAACTCAGTTTTATTTGATTTATTTTTAACTGAAGCCTTTTAAATACTGACATGAGTCTAGAACCGGGCTGGCTGTTCATTATAATTAATCAGGTGAAGTCCTACTTGGGTTGTTGGGCGGCGCCGAGGTTCGGATCCAGTCGTACGGGTTCCTCCTGCGCGGGGATCCGGGGGACAGCTGCCCGGCCGACGCGTTCAGGGACGCGGGCAGCTGACCGGGGAAGTCCGGGGGGCTGAAGCCCAGGGCGGGACCCACCGCTCCGGGGACGGTGGAGGCGGCCGGAGGCCCGCCGGCCGCCGCGGCCGCTGCCGCCGCCGCGTAGTGATGCGACGACCAGTCGTCCCGAGCGGGCGGAGGAGGAGGCGGGTAGGCCGGGCTCCAGCCGCCGGCCCCCGGCCCGGCCTGCTGCGCCGGGTGCGGGTCGTTGCCCAGGCCGTGGTGGTGGTGGTGGTAGCCGGCGAAGTCCGGGTACTGCGGCGGGGCGGGGACCGGGAAGTTCTGCGGGCTGAGGCTGAGACCCGGGTGGCGGGCCACCGGGTTCTGGTGCGGGTACATGGCGGGGTCCTTGTCCAGCTGCAGGTAGCTCACGTACATCTTTCCGGCCGAGGGCTCTCCCTCAGCATACTGCGGATCCAGCCTCCCCTGTGTCGGCTCACCTGCAGGTACCTGAGTCTCACCTGAGGCCACCTGCTGCTGTCTGCGCTCTGCCCGCCGGCGGCCGTTAAAACGGCCCCGGTCACATGGCGCCTTTATGGCCCTTATCTGCCCCGGACCGCCTCCTGCGCATCGCTCCGGCCACGACTGGAAGGTGAAGAAGCTTTCCCACGCTCACCTGTCCCGGTCCCCCCACGTCCCCCCAGGCTTCTCTATCGGTCCCCCCCG